TAAAATGATAAAAGTAATGGGCATTTTTGAAAATGGTTATCATATTCGTAATCAGCATGCTCGATTACCCCCGTGTGCCAACTCCCAGCCCCGTAGCTTGAACTTTGCCAAAAAATCGATAAATGATAAAAGTAAATGATAATTTTGAAAACCGGTATTGTATTCGTAATCAGCGTGTTCGCTTATCCTCCCTTGCCAACTTCCAGCCCCGTAGCTTGAACTTTGCCAAAAAATCGATAAAATGATAAAAGTAATGGACATTTTTGAAAATGGTTATCATATTCGTAATCAGCATGCTCGATTACCCCCGTGTGCCAACTCCTAGCTCCGAAGCTTGAACTTTGCAAAAAAATCGATAAAATGATAAAAATAACTGATAATTCTAAAAACTAATACTGTATTCGTAATCAGCATGCTCGATTACCCCCGTGTGCCAACTCCCAGCCCGTAGCTTGAAGTTTGCCAAAAAATCGATAAAATGATAAAAATAATGGGCATTTTTGAAAATGGTTATCATATTCGTAATCAGCATGCTCGATTACCCCCGTGTGCCAACTCCTAGCTCCGAAGCTTGAACTTTGCAAAAAAACCGATAAAATGATAAAAATAACTGATAATTTTAAAAGCTATATTGTATTCGTAATCAGCATGTTCGCTTGTCCTCCTGTGAAAACTCCCAGCCCCGTAGCTTGAACTTTGCCAAAAAATCGATAAAATGGTAAAAATAGCTGATAAATCTAAAAACTAATACTGTATTCGTAATCAGCATGTTCGCTTACCCTCCCGTGCCAACTCCCAACCCCGCAGTCCAAAATTTGTAAAAATCGATAAAATGATAAAAGTAATGGGCATTTTTGAAAATGGTTATCATATTCGTAATCAGCATGCTCGATTACCCCCGTGTGCCAACTCCCAGCCCCGTAGCTTGAACTTTGCCAAAAAATCGATAAATGATAAAAGTAAATGATAATTTTGAAAACCGGTATTGTATTCGTAATCAGCATGTTCGCTTACCCTCCCGTGCCAACTCCCAACCCCGCAGTCCAAAATTTGTAAAAATCGATAAAATGATAAAAGTAATGGGCATTTTTGAAAATGGTTATCATATTCGTAATCAGCATGCTCGATTACCCCCGTGTGCCAACTCCCAGCCCCGTAGCTTGAACTTTGCCAAAAAATCGATAAATGATAAAAGTAAATGATAATTTTGAAAACCGGTATTGTATTCGTAATCAGCGTGTTCGCTTATCCTCCCTTGCCAACTTCCAGCCCCGTAGCTTGAACTTTGCCAAAAAATCGATAAAATGATAAAAGTAATGGATATTTTTGAAAATGGTTATCATATTCGTAATCAGCATGCTCGATTACCCCCGTGTGCCAACTCCTAGCTCCGAAGCTTGAACTTTGCAAAAAAATCGATAAAATGATAAAAATAACTGATAATTCTAAAAACTAATACTGTATTCGTAATCAGCATGCTCGATTACCCCCGTGTGCCAACTCCCAGCCCGTAGCTTGAACTTTGCCAAAAAATCGATAAAATGATAAAAATAATGGGCATTTTTGAAAATGGTTATCATATTCGTAATCAGCATGCTCGATTACCCCCGTGTGCCAACTCCTAGCTCCGAAGCTTGAACTTTGCAAAAAAATCGATAAAAGATAAAAATAACTGATAATTCTAAAAACTAATACTGTATTCGTAATCAGCATGCTCGATTACCCCCGTGTGCCAACTCCCAGCCCCGTAGCTTGAACTTTGCCAAAAAATCGATAAATGATAAAAGTAAATGATAATTTTGAAAACCGGTATTGTATTCGTAATCAGCGTGTTCGCTTATCCTCCCTTGCCAACTTCCAGCCCCGTAGCTTGAACTTTGCCAAAAAATCGATAAAATGATAAAAGTAATGGATATTTTTGAAAATGGTTATCATATTCGTAATCAGCATGCTCGATTACCCCCGTGTGCCAACTCCTAGCTCCGAAGCTTGAACTTTGCAAAAAAATCGATAAAATGATAAAAATAACTGATAATTCTAAAAACTAATACTGTATTCGTAATCAGCATGCTCGATTACCCCCGTGTGCCAACTCCCAGCCCGTAGCTTGAACTTTGCCAAAAAATCGATAAAATGATAAAAATAATGGGCATTTTTGAAAATGGTTATCATATTCGTAATCAGCATGCTCGATTACCCCCGTGTGCCAACTCCTAGCTCCGAAGCTTGAACTTTGCAAAAAAATCGATAAAATGATAAAAATAACTGATAATTCTAAAAACTAATACTGTATTCGTAATCAGCATGCTCGATTACCCCCGTGTGCCAACTCCCAGCCCCGTAGCTTGAACTTTGCCAAAAAATCGATAAATGATAAAAGTAAATGATAATTTTGAAAACCGGTATTGTATTCGTAATCAGCGTGTTCGCTTATCCTCCCTTGCCAACTTCCAGCCCCGTAGCTTGAACTTTGCCAAAAAATCGATAAAATGATAAAAGTAATGGATATTTTTGAAAATGGTTATCATATTCGTAATCAGCATGCTCGATTACCCCCGTGTGCCAACTCCTAGCTCCGAAGCTTGAACTTTGCAAAAAAATCGATAAAATGATAAAAATAACTGATAATTCTAAAAACTAATACTGTATTCGTAATCAGCATGCTCGATTACCCCCGTGTGCCAACTCCCAGCCCGTAGCTTGAACTTTGCCAAAAAATCGATAAAATGATAAAAATAATGGGCATTTTTGAAAATGGTTATCATATTCGTAATCAGCATGCTCGATTACCCCCGTGTGCCAACTCCTAGCTCCGAAGCTTGAACTTTGCAAAAAAATCGATAAAATGATAAAAATAACTGATAATTCTAAAAACTAATACTGTATTCGTAATCAGCATGCTCGATTACCCCCGTGTGCCAACTCCCAGCCCCGTAGCTTGAACTTTGCCAAAAAAATCGATAAAATGATAAAAATGACTGATAATTCTAAAAACTAATACTGTATTCGTAACCAGCATGTTCGCTTACCCTCCCGTGCCAACTCCCAACCCCGCAGTCCAAAATTTGTAAAAATCGATAAAATGATAAAAGTAATGGGCATTTTTGAAAATGGTTATCATATTCGTAATCAGCATGCTCGATTACCCCCGTGTGCCAACTCCCAGCCCCGTAGCTTGAACTTCGCCAAAAAATCGATAAATGATAAAAGTAAATGATAATTTTGAAAACCGGTATTGTATTCGTAATCAGCGTGTTCGCTTATCCTCCCTTGCCAACTTCCAGCCCCGTAGCTTGAACTTTGCCAAAAAATCGATAAAATGATAAAAGTAATGGACATTTTTGAAAATGGTTATCATATTCGTAATCAGCATGCTCGATTACCCCCGTGTGCCAACTCCTAGCTCCGAAGCTTGAACTTTGCAAAAAAATCGATAAAATGATAAAAATAACTGATAATTCTAAAAACTAATACTGTATTCGTAATCAGCATGCTCGATTACCCCCGTGTGCCAACTCCCAGCCCCGTAGCTTGAACTTTGCCAAAAAAGTCGATAAAATGATAAAAATGACTGATAATTCTAAAAACTAATACTGTATTCGTAACCAGCATGTTCGCTTACCCTCCCGTGCCAACTCCCAACCCCGCAGTCCAAAATTTGTAAAAATCGATAAAATGATAAAAGTAATGGGCATTTTTGAAAATGGTTATCATATTCGTAATCAGCATGCTCGATTACCCCCGTGTGCCAACTCCCAGCCCCGTAGCTTGAACTTCGCCAAAAAATCGATAAATGATAAAAGTAAATGATAATTTTGAAAACCGGTATTGTATTCGTAATCAGCGTGTTCGCTTATCCTCCCTTGCCAACTTCCAGCCCCGTAGCTTGAACTTTGCCAAAAAATCGATAAAATGATAAAAGTAATGGACATTTTTGAAAATGGTTATCATATTCGTAATCAGCATGCTCGATTACCCCCGTGTGCCAACTCCTAGCTCCGAAGCTTGAACTTTGCAAAAAAATCGATAAAATGATAAAAATAACTGATAATTCTAAAAACTAATACTGTATTCGTAATCAGCATGCTCGATTACCCCCGTGTGCCAACTCCCAGCCCGTAGCTTGAACTTTGCCAAAAAATCGATAAAATGATAAAAATAATGGGCATTTTTGAAAATGGTTATCATATTCGTAATCAGCATGCTCGATTACCCCCGTGTGCCAACTCCTAGCTCCGAAGCTTGAACTTTGCAAAAAAATCGATAAAATGATAAAAATAACTGATAATTCTAAAAACTAATACTGTATTCGTAATCAGCATGCTCGATTACCCCCGTGTGCCAACTCCCAGCCCCGTAGCTTGAACTTTGCCAAAAAAATCGATAAAATGATAAAAATGACTGATAATTCTAAAAACTAATACTGTATTCGTAACCAGCATGTTCGCTTACCCTCCCGTGCCAACTCCCAACTCCGCAGTCCAAAATTTGCAAAAATCGATAAAATGATAAAAGTAATGGGCATTTTTGAAAATGGTTATCATATTCGTAATCAGCATGCTCGATTACCCCCGTGTGCCAACTCCCAGCCCCGTAGCTTGAACTTTGCCAAAAAATCGATAAAATGATAAAAATAATGGGCATTTTTGAAAATGGTTATCATATTAGTAATCAGCATGTTCGATTACCCCCCTGTGCCAACTCCCAGCCCCGTAGTTCAAAATTTACAAATAATCGATAAATTTGGTAGAAGTAATAACAAGCTTCCATGCTGGAAAATGACAAACACGAAAACACCATCGAGGACCTACAGACAGCATCAACAAGCATGCTTATCCACCAGCGTACAGACAAGCCACCAGTGTACAGACAAAATCCCATTCGGTTTTATATAGATAGAAGGATAAGCCGCAGATTATATTTTTCAATTACGAATTTCTGAAGAAGACCTTCACCCCCCCCCCAAATGTTCTGAAGCAACACTGCTGAAGATTTTTTAGCCCCATAACTCGCCAAATATTCCCAGCTGCCGATGATGATCTCCTCAATTACTTACAAGAAGAAAATCAGCAGATAGAACCTGAGTGGTAAATTTTCTTGTTTTTAGTCACAAATACCTTTAACTTCTCCCGCCTTCAGGTACTGCCCCATTATCCCCATGGTTCTTGTGAATGGCGCTGAAGGTGTAGGTACAGGATGGTCAACGCTCATTCTCAGTCATAACATCAATGATGTGGTTGACAATGTGCGAAGAATGATTGATGGAAATGAAGTGGAGAAAATGGTAGGTTTCTTATTCAGATATTGGTCACAGAAAAATCTGACCAATTATAGGCACCATCGTTTTCGGATTTTTCCGGGAAAATTGAGGAAATAGGGGAGAATAGCTACGAGATAAGTGGAAAATACAGAATTGTTCCTTCGCAACGAAAGAATTCGCCTAATTTGAGGTAAGCGGAGCCTTAGCAAATTTCAATAGATTGAAATTGCAACACGAAACTGGCAAGTTTTGCGCTAAAATCGAGAAGGTTATACCTGGAGTATTTTTTTTCAATATCTGCAATTTAAGATTTTCGTGGCCAATATGAAAAAAAGCGCTTTCTCTAGAAAGTTCTTCGAGATTGATCATTTCGTGCTACACGCTTTTCGCTCCACTTCCCATCTTCCCCTGTTCCATGTTTCCAAAAAATTTAGCGATCCGCTGTCATAAGTGAGCCTGGAGTATAGTAATATTGTTGAAAATTGCCGATAAGTTTGCATGAACGTGAATGATTTTGATTTCAGGATTGAAATCACAGAACTGCCTGTGGGAGAATGGACAAATAGGTACAAGCAGAATACTTTACAGGCACTGCAGAAGAATGGATACATAAGGTAAAATGGAGGAAAATTCGGTCGAAGATCGAAAAAATAAGGAAGCAAATAATCGATGTTTCTTGCATTTCTTCTAGACTTTCATATGTTTTGAGCGGATCACTTTCAAGAAAATTTTCATAGCTTTAAGTCTGAATGCTTTCAGCAACTACAAAGAATATCACACTGAAAGAAATGTGCGGTTTCTCATCGAACTAAGCAGAGATTCTACGACACGATGTAGAAGACCTGCTGGGCGATACTCTGAGCTGATGAAGAAGTTTAAACTCTGTACGAAAATAACAACGAACTCTATGGTAATATTTCCAGCGCTACAGACATTACGGTACCAAAGCTAGCCAGCTGTTCTAGGTTTTGTTTGATCCGCTTGGTCATCTCAAGAACTATGCCACTGTGAGTGACATCATGTGGGAACATTTTCATGTCCGTCAACGGATGTATGAGCGGAGGAAGGAGCATGAGACGAGAATGCTAGATGCGCAGAAGAGAAAAGTTGAGAATCAGGTGAGAAATTTGATCTTTTCCCCATTTTTGCTCACTCAATTACATAATGTAACATTTTTTACGAACGATTGATATAGGCTATTCATCGCATGCAGTGGTGGACGTCATTGCATCGAATTAAGATAGTTTGTTTTGTGAGAGACAGCAGACGGTTAGATAAAAAATGCATTTCTAACAATAAGGATGCCAACAAGGGTTTTGGTGATATGGTATGGTATGGTATGTTGTACAAATTATGTGTGGTATGGTATGGTATGGTAGGATATGGTTGGTGGTATGGTATGGTATGGGTTGTATGTGATATGGTATGGTATGGTTGTACAAATTCAGAATTTCTGACTTACGGGTAATCTTCACGTGTTGAAAATTTTTATAACACGACCTATCAAAATTCTCGAGAAACATACTAGGAGAGCCGAGACGGTGATAAGGTGTGTGTGGGGGGGGGGGGGGGGGGGGAAGAGAGAAAGGAGTGAAGAGTCTGTGATAGGCTCTTTACTACATACTGTGTATCTGTAACAAATTCTTTTTTTGATTCTCAATTGTAAATGCTTAAAGGCAGCGTCCAGGCAGATCTGGACCTAAGGGCCTTCTACGTGGAAAGTACTTTTGGGGACCTAACTAAGGCACTGCCCAAGCGGCAGTTCAGGTAGTGCTCTAATGGATGAGATATTCCCCTCGAAACTGGCCCCCGCGAACGTATTCGCATGGATTCATGGCAGTTTCGCGCCAGGATCACGCTTTGCGCCATGAATCCATGCGAAACACGGTCGCGGGGTCCAGTTTCGAGGGGAATATCTCAGCCGTTATCTCAGCCGCCGTCACTACCTGAGCTGCCGGTTAGACAGTGGCTTAGTTAGGGCCCCAAAAGTTTTCCACGTAAAAGCCCCATAGGTCCAGACTTGCCTGGACGCTGCCTTTAAGCGTAAAACATTACTGCCGTCATATGATCGTCGAATTAAGACGATAATGAGAATATGGTCTAAGTAGGTTGTAATACTTTAATTGTTGCTATACCATACTCCAAAAATTCACTATGCTGTGCAATTGCACTAAGCTTACAAAACAGGCGGCAAGAAGATATGAATGTTCGCGAACAGACATCAAGCTGAGGAATTAGACTTGTTCTGGGCTTGCGATGCACATCTTGCAAGAAATGTTTATAATGGCAATTTTGGTATTGATAGATTCAGATTCCTCAGCTCTACTCTCAAATACTTTTGCTCATGCAATAAATGCATCCCCTTGGAGTTTATGATCGCTGCAACTCCTAGCTCATACTACGAGAAAATTGCAGAGAAGTCAGTAATGTGAGATTGATGCTCTAAAATCACGAATTTGAACAATCTGGGGAATGCTGATCAACGCCGTCGGTGACGGGGCGTGACTGTACCAATTATACGCAATTGCACAACGATAACATGATTTCTTTTCCTCACGAATGTTGTCTTGGAAACTTCCATTCCTCCTACTTGCTTTATATTATCATGTTAGAATGTTAGATGGTATTATACACAATACTGGTCAGCAGCTTCTTGTGAAAGTACTTAGTGAATAACACGAAAAATTCCCTGCCTAGAGAGAGTCAGTATCTTTTCTCCTATAGTGTATGCTTCGTAGATATTGACATACTTTCTTATTCTCACTACCTTGTTAAGGATATCATATCCATACTTTAGTCACATATTGTCGCATAGTTTTCAATCGGAGTGTTCTTATCAATTCTCTTTTTGTCTTCTATGATGGCTTCGTCCCTTGTTTCTGAATCTTGTCAAAGCATATTGAATTACAATCTGTTATCTATCGAGCAGGGAGAAGTTGACGTCTCTTATGTTGATTTGTTCCAAAAATATAAATCTTTATACTTTCAGCTTCGCTTCATCGAGGAAGCAAATAGTGGTAATATTCGCCTTAGCGGAAAGCATTTGGCTGAACTTGAACACGATCTAATTGCTAAAGGTTTTGAATCGGATCCAGTGAAGCAATGGAAAAATGAGGCAAGTCGTACATGCTTATTTTCTGTCTTCAGTTTTCTAATCATTTTTTACTTTTTTGATTTGTGCCATACATGTCATTTCTTCCGTAAGGGAACTGCCATAGGTTTCCGGCAACGGTTGCCGAGGTTGTCGAGGTTGCGTGGAGGCTGTTATGAGGTCTACAACGACCGGCAACGCTGGCAACCTCGGCAACCGTTGCCGGCAACCTATGGCCGTCTCCTAAGATTTGTTTTGTTTCAATGTTATTTTTTATCGGAAATGACCACATTTTCAGCCGTCTGATCTATCTTACCTGATCAATCTGCCACTGAGTCGTCTTACTATCGAAGAAATGCAAAAACTGCGGAACCAAGTGGACATTACTAGAGAAAAGTTCGAGAAAGTAGTCCAAACATCTTGGCAAGATTCATGGATAGCTGATTTGAAATTGCTTTTGAGAGTAAGTCTTCTTTTGTTTTCTTGTTACGAATTTCGATTCTATATGTATTGTTTAACGTTCAGGAGGTCAACAATTCAGCGAGGAAAAAGACATGAGTCCGTTGAGTTTGTTCGCACGTTTTGTACAGAATTACTGCACCAAAGTGGTCTTAACTACTGCCTTTGTTTTTTCCACCTCATTTTACTTATTATGCCTTGCGTCGAGCCTTACTTGTATCTTGTAGAGAATCCTTTTTTGTACGATCTCATGTTTTTTCCGTCTCATTGTGATCTCATTTCTATGTTTTCAATCCAAGTTTGTAACCCGAACCCGCAATAAAGTTTTTTTATTAGGTGCAGATTCTTGCTGTGACTGCTTCTAGTTGTTTCGAATCAACGTGGGGTAACCATAAATCCGACAATTTTTGTGATGGTAATTGTACATCAAATCATTTTTGCAGTAATATGAGTGACGAAGAAGATCGTACGTGTTACGTCTGTAACTTCTCACATGAAGTAACGAGTGATTTGTTAGAGGAGCTGTTTACACAGGTGTGTTTGAGTTCCACTCTATCCTGTCTGATTTGCGTTTGTCTCTATTTTCATTTTTTTCAAAGCTTAGCTTTCTTCTAAATCATCGTCTTTAGGTTGGTCCACTTGAAAAAGTGTCGCTTACTGAGAAGAATGGACATCGATTTGCTATGGTTTTGTTTGAAGATGATGTAAGCGTTCCATTTGCAGTGGAAACTTTAGATGGAATCCATATGTTTGGTATTCCGTTGACGGTAAAACCTAGAAGTGGATCGAAACACGTGAGTGAACGAAGGCTTCTTCTTATGCTATACCGCTTTTTTTTCTACACAATCTCTCTTTGGTCTTTAGCACTCATCATCAGTTTTTCGACTATTCATATGCCACTTATTTTTTGTCACAAACATCGCTTTGTCCTCGCTGACCTTACTTGATCTAAGATATCCTATGCCCAATCTTACATGTAAAGCTACAAAACTTGTCACCATTCAGTCCAATTGATGCGATTTCACAAAATTATTCTTTTTTTCATCTGACTCATCCGTCCCTGTTTTGAACATATTTATTTTCCAATCATAATAGCTTCGAAGCCACAGTGAAATCGTTTACGTTTTGTTTGATTTTCTTGATTTGCTCCAGTTTTTGAAACTTTCGACTATTGCATGCTCTTATACATGCGTTCGCGTCCCCTGTCACATATTACAGTGTCATCTTACTTCCTTATGTCGTACAGAATCGTTCCCCCGGTATCATATTTGTCTCGAAGCTTGCTTTTCACCACTGTGTACTTTGGAGATGTATCATCCAAGTATATAGCCCAAATTTTTATCGCTTAAGTACATAACCCAAATTTTTTTAAATTATACGTGTTTTTGCACCTTCAGTAACTGTCTCATCTACCTCCATCTCTGCTTATAGTTGATTATCAGTTCCTCTATACTTTATCACATTTTTGTGAATCTCTTATCAATTTGATACTTCAAACTACGGTTTTTTTTACAACCGGCCGCTTTAGCTTGCGGAAAGTGTGTCAAAATGTTTTCACTCATATCAGGCGGTCTCGCTTAAACCTATAATGTACTGGAGCAATTTGTATTAGTACTTAGGCGTTCTGGCTCATTTCTTGGACGTGTCTTGACTTTACTTTGGGCAGAAATCTACATTTCCAGTTTTCTCTCATTTGCTATCTATTACAGTTTCTAGAATTTGGTTCATTTTCTAATTTTCTCACTGTCTTGCTCAGAAATGAAAGTCTCCTTTGTTCTAGGATAAGAGGAGATCGTTTGATTCTAAGCGCCGAGACACTTATCTGCCTCACTCTTCTTCTTATCCGGAAAGCCATAAAAGGGACTACAATGGGTCAGAATAAGATTTTCTATAGTCAATGTTTATATAGGCAGGATTTTTTCAACGGAGAGCTTTCAGACGAATTACCAGTTACGAAGAGCGTCATGACAACCATTATCGAGGCTCCCGTCAGTTTTTGCTTTTGCTATCTGTTCCGTGGGAATTAAACTTTGCCTTGCAGCTTATACGCCATCAATGGCACTGCCCACTCCACCTCCTCCTCCTCCGCCGCCGCCTCTTCCTCTTTCAGACCCTTATCCAAGGTTTGAAATTCCAATATCTTTTACTTTTGTTAGTTTCCAAATGGCTCAATGTTTCAGCCTAAAAATACGTCCAGTTGCTCGATCTGATTCATCTACGCCCAAATCAAGTTTTAAAGGAAGGTACGTTCACTGAATTTGATTGTTTCGTGAAGTTTTACACTTTGAATATCGAAACCCGTTTTGCAGACCAGGAAATGATCAGAGGAGGACTTTTCCAACAAAGCCGTCCGATACAAGGATATTTGAAGCCGAAATGTGAGTACATTTCTTTTTTTTGAATCAGCATATCTTTTGGTCTATGTAGAACGCTTTGCTATTCTACTCAGTTTTTTAGCACGCCACGTAAGAGAAACAACTTTTCTTCTCTATAGTCTTTTACTGAAATTTTTGCCAAGTCTTTGAAGCCACAAAACCCTTCTTCTTTTCATAGACGCACTTTTCTTTCTATTTTTTTTCCCGAAATTGCTTTTTGCGCGTGCTCCGTTGCCCAGTGTATGCTCTCATTCTCTAGGATGAATGGCTTCTCGTTAATCTTTTTTTTCTGGACCCTGGAGCTTCTTGAAATTGCCATCTTGTGAAGCCATACGGTCGAATGAAAAATTAGGCCGTTCTAGAGTCTTAGTCAAAGCTCTCAAAAAATTTTTCGGTATTGATCTTTAAATAGTAGCAAAGAGGGCGGAATGATAGTCTCACAGGGTAAGAAGGCACCTGTGTTGCTTAGTTTTTTTCCTCAAACCTCTTTTGTGATAGAATTCAGTGGAAAAGAGATTCCAAACTAGTGTAAATTCCACTGGTAGCCAAATTGTTTGTATCTGCATGTGCATAGTCCATGCAGCGCTCGTTTCCGTCTTACTCTATGTCCTAATTGCGCTTCTTGTTTCGATCGGACCACTATTGCATTTGGGAAGGGAAAGCGCGGAGTAAACTCTGCGGGAGTGTTTAGTTTTGCTTTCGGACTCTCTTTGTCTTCCTGGTTTAACCTTTTTGAAAGCTATGAGAGATGTTTTCCTAGCTTCTTTCTTTCCATCTTCATCTTCTATTCAGCGTATATAAGCACTTTGGCAGTCAAAAATGAGAACATATTGTGTCATGATTTTCTTTGTGTGTAAGATTTCAATCTTACATTTTTTATCATATGGAAGTGGAGTTACTTTACAGAGAGAATAAGAATCTTCTTTAAGTTCTAAGTATCCTCCTGTTATGTTCGCTCAAAACCATTTATGCGCCTTACAAATTACTGCAAGCAGGTGAGGTTATGATCACTATTAAATTTTTAATGCTTGGCATGCCATTCAGTGATCTCACTGGTTTTGGAGCAGCATTTCACACTTAACCATTACTGCCATCCTTTCAGCGAATCTCGTCTATTCCTAATAACGGTCTGTGAGGCAGTCAAGTCAAGTTTTTTGCTGTCTCAAGAATAAGTTCCTTTCAGTGTACTTTACTTGGAGCTTTCAAGAGTTTGAGAAAGTTGGCCCCTTCAGCTTGAAAAAGAATTTTTTTCATCAAGTGGAGATTATGGTGGAGAACTCTAATCTTTTCTGCCACCTTCTCCAAGTAACGCTCAGAAAATCTTAGGAAAAGTTGAATTTTAGTTTTTTTAGTAAAATGCGTGCTTTTTCGGATGATCTATTTTGATCAAAAGGTCTCTTGTTGCGGAGAATTGTTTAAAACGCAGTCATTTCAATATTCTACCGTACTCTTACAGGAGAAAAAGATGCAGAAGTTCGTGTTACAGTATTAGCGGCTAATGAGCATATTGGGAAATTGTGTGCTTTTCAACTTTCTCGTAAAATCAAAACATTTGGATCTATACTGCTTAATTTCTTTAATCGTCATTGCTTCTGGTCGTAGCTTTTTTTTTTTGTAATTTGTGCTAAAGGTTTGGGCCAAGAAGAGTCTTGCGGTAAGGGGACATATGAGACCGGGAATTGCCTTCAGTGATGTATCTATTAGCATAATAAAATTTAAATGCCTCACATATAGGAATGGTCGTGAAAGATGGCATCCTCATCGCGGCGGCAGAGATGATCGTTTCAAATACCGGAATTCAAGTTTTACGAGCCGCTCAGGTAGCAGCTCAAGTCTTGATTATAGGCGGTATTGATCAGTTCTCGAAACCATTATGTCTCTCCATTCATCGATTTTGTATCACTTGCATTTTGTGTCTGTTTAAAAATGTTGTCAGCGTTGTTTTGCGGTAGCGCATTTTTCTTGTTTCCTCGTCGATGGTTTCATTTATGAGGGTGTTAGAGGTATAACACGATGCTGGCATTCGTTCCTTCTGGGAGTGATCATGTCTTCAGGGTGTAAATATAGGCAAGTGTGCTTAATATTGATCCTGCTTCAATCTGATAGGTCTTTTAGGTGTGTGAATGTTTAGTCCATGCCTAATCACAGAAATATCTTATTTTTCGTTTTATTGGTCATATATCGTGTTTATATAAGTATGCTCTTGTATGTGTCTCAGGAGTTGCGCACTGTGTGAGATTGAGGGTTGAGAAATCGTGCTACATCTGAAAATACATCATTCAAAATCAAGAGCATTTGGTTCTGTAAACTTCTGTTGAAGGCAGTGTCCAGGCTAAATGTAACTCTCTCGGATTAGTGGCGGTCCTAAACGTAGACCCCAGGAGGGAGGCATCTGCGTTGGTCCGGTCTTCTAATGTTGTCTTGAATGAAGATAATGGACCTGGAATAGCGAAAGTTCTATCAAGCCACGCCCAGAACCTATCATGCTCCGCCCACACTGGTACTGAAAGTTGCTGTTCTTCAGGATAGGGCTCCCAGGAATAAGGTTTTTTTCTTAGGGTTTTAGACATTTCGAGCTTCATAGTTGTAATCAGGGCCCCGGAAAGACCTCAAAATGACAAGAACACGGTAGGCGAGATTTTGGGCGGGCGCTGCCTTTAACGTCGTAACGATTACCCAAATTCGTTACTTCAGAGTGGTATCCAGACGAGATCTTGGCTTTCTTATCCAAACTGGCGGGGAGGGCATAGCTAACCCACTGCTCAAGGGGTACTGCATGTGATTCTATTCTTGCCTAGAGATACAACTTTAGACTTTCACCCATTACCGTACTCTTTCCGGCCAGAGTCCTCGAGTACGGGTGGGAATTTGGATTCTTATCTCTTTTATGAATTACGAGACTCAAAAGAAGAAAGAACAAGACACATTACATTCTTTTATGATTTTAATCCAACAGTTTGCGTCGTCGAGTCACTTTATGGCATAGACAATTTCTTTGGCATACAGCGGAGATTAGCCTTTTTGCTATCTTTTTATTGTAACTAATCAAGTAAAAATAAACGATGCAATTTGGGGTAGAGACACACCCGGGTATGATCTTTCCATCTCGAGGAAGAAAAACGCGTGACGATAGGCGTATTTGAAGGGTGTGAACAATATCATTTGCATATGATCGATAGTCCACTGTTCAAATAATTTATGCGCAGGCATCGTATGGTTTGTATGCTTTAGCCTTAGTGAATGCTTTCCATAGCGCCGTCATGGTTTTTGACCATTTTTTTGCGAGTTTTTGGGCTGATAAGCGAGGTATTTCTTTCTGTCTGAAGTTTTTTTCTGCAAATAGTCAAACACTGGTATTCTCCTCTGAGCAACTATAGAATACCCTTGGCGGCAGCAGAAAATGTTTTTCATTGTTTTGCTGCGAATAAAAACGCTTTGCGAAGCATTTCTGTTATCTTGACAACAGGTGATTCATTGCTTATTCATGAAAAATGCTGTGGCGAAATAGTGTGCGAAAGAATACCGAAGCCACACAGCTGGCTGGTTTTGAATATTTGTTCTGTTACGGTTGCCACTAGTTCGTAAGGATCTCGATTCTTCGGTGGTTGGGGATATAGAGGGCTCTTATAATCAAAAAACTTTTCTTACACTTTAGATGGGCAGCTGAGTGTTTGTTTTGGATATGATGCATTTCATCTAACGTTGAGAGCCTTCACTCCCACCGACGTTTTCTACAAATTGATTTGATATATTTTGAAACGCTACTTTATCTTCAAGTACTCTTGTCAAAGTTTAGAAGATTTATGGTAGGGGTCTTACAGACTTTACGTACGGTTATAGGAAGCAGAATTACGCGTCTGTCAAGTTTAAAGAGTTAGCTATTCTCTTAACTTGATCCCTCTACCCTAAGTTTCTTCCCTTTGTACTAACATAACAATTCTTGACTAGATTCTTTTATCGTTATAACATCAATATAAATAGGGGGGAACATAATTGGGGAGGGGACCACCGAGCACCCGGGGAGTGCCAGCTCATCTGAGGTTGGTGGCACCGCCCAAGTCGGCGAGGGGACTGTCGGACTCTAATTAGTCTGCGTCTCGACATGTCCGTTCCATGGCAAAGCTCGTCCTCGAGCTTTTGAGGTTGGCCATGGTTATTGAGTTGTCATCAGTGGCTTCGCTGGGGAGTTGCCCATATGCATGGTTGCGATGTCATCATTGAGTTGGACGTTGCCCATACGTGTAGTTGATGTTGCCCATTTACCATTTGCTGCTTTGGTTGAGGGCAGACTTGCTTCAGGCGTTAGTCGCTGGATTTTTCTTCACAAGGACAGGGGGAAAAGGGATGAGAAGGCACGCTTTCGCACGCCCTGTCAGAAGAATGAGCTCGTCTCGAGCTGAAGAATTGGAGCAACATGGACGAGTGATGAGATGATTTAAATGATGAGCAAATCGGGGTACGGATGAGGCTTCCGTAGTCGTTTGGCGAGGCGGGTAGGGACTTCCGCATGGTGGTAAAATATGACATAGGGTATAAGGGAAGCGGATAAAGGCCGCTCTAGTGACGAAATGTGACATACGGGAATATGACATCCGTAAAGAAATAATGAGCATTGTTGTAGAAAACGAGATTACTGGCATAATATATAAATCGACAGCAAATAACAAAATGAATTATGTTCGAAGACGGCGAAGGAACGGAATGTATATTCCGAACATTTGCCGTTACAGAGCATGGTAAGCTATGATATGGACATGCAATTTCACAGGATATTGACATTTTTTTTACTAACCTGCAAGCAACTCAGGAGGGAACACTTCCCTAACGTTGATTACAAGGGCGTGGGTGAAAAGTTTTACTGAAAGCCTTCTCTGAGCCGCCAATCAGAGAATTCTTTCTTTTTATAGTGCGATGGCTTGCGGGCAAACTTACAAGTGTCACTAACTGCTGCGTAAAGAGAAAAAATGATTAGTAGTGCTAATGACACTTTATGTTCTCTAGCGAGAATCATTCCATTTTTTTTGTCTCAAACGCTCTGAACGTCTGAAATAAAGCTGGAACCTTTCCCTGAAATCTGTTTTGCAAACATAAAACGAATGATTTTTTTTATGTTTTTTTTTATGGTTAGTAGTACATTGATAAATACAAAATTGCACAAAATTGTTATGATTACAGTATAATGAAACACTGAAAGCTGATAAATCAGTACCTCTGTGACGAAGTTGGATAAAGATGATCAGCAAATATCCAACTCGTTCCAGTAGTCGAGAATCATCTAGTCCAGAGCTGCATTTTTTATAAATAAATAATTAGGTGAAACTGACCTAAGCACAACTAGGCAGTATTGTATTACTGCTTGAAACGGATTCCGCCGAGTTTAGGACAGCTCCTGGCGCCTGTATGTCATTCAAGATTAGATAATGACGCTCTGAATCGGCGTGACTGGGAAAAGGGCCTCTGGTAACCCCATGGGCTATCACATAGCCTATGGAATCACCATAGGCAACATAGCCTGCGGAGTATCCACAGGCGTCTAGATCGCCTGTGGAACTGCGGCAATTACAAAACGGCTACGGCAATTGAACACAATTATAAAAATTTTATACATATGTACATGCCGGCGTTGGCGATAGAGTCCCTGAGTTTGTGTAAAAAAAAAATAACGATGGAAAGTGAGAAAGAAGAAAATAAATGGTTGAAAATAATGTGTAAAGTTATAGGCGAAATATGGTGAAAAATGGTTGTGAAAATGAATTTTACATGTTTTGGAAAGATAATAGATTATGAAAGAGAAAATGTGGAAGTTACAAGGTAAAATATGTTTTGAAAAAATGAAAAGTTTTAGATTTGTTTCTAAATAAATAGGGTGGGGAAAGGGGGCTAGAGGAAGAAAGAGTAAATATTTACGGTTCTTCACGTGGTATCACGGTAAAAACTGTAAGGAATCACAGCAGATAAAAAATACCAACTACCATATTCAATATAGTAATATATTCATTATCTGCTACGAAACAAAAAAAGACTGTCAAATACACAGTAGGTAAAGAATACATGATTATATTCATTACCCACTATGACACGAAAAAAATATGACAAAATAAGAAAAACACACTCAGACCCATCGCCTGGACTCAAGGGAAAAGAGAAAAGAAAGGATAAATATAAAAAAGGGCTACGTAATTCACGTAGGAGATGAGGGCTGGTGCCGGTGGTGAGAGTAATCAGCAGAGATTGGCCTAATCTATGCTTAGATTTTTTTAGTGAAAAAAAGTTATGCGACAAAAGTTCGGAAAAACCGGGACCTCCATGTCAAGTTGAAGAGTTAGCTATTCTCTTAACTTGATCCCTCTACCCTAAGTTTCTTCCCTTTGTACTAACATAACAATTCTTGACTAGATTCTTTTATCGTTATAACATCAATATAAATAGGGGGGAACATAATTGGGGAGGGGACCACCGAGCACCCGGGGAGTGCCAGCTCATCTGAGGTTGGTGGCACCGCCCAAGTCGGCGAGGGGACTGTCGGACTCTAATTAGTCTGCGTCTCGACACGTCTAAGAATTCTTTTTGAATTTTGGTACAATTTGTAATTCGCAATCGTGGGTTTATCGGGTTCTTGGTTTTTTTTGTCGCGTGATGGAAATAATGAGCCTGTGTAAATATGCGGGATAATGGGTGATTCACCAGATGTACCGAACTGCACTCGAAAAAATTCCCCATTATTCACATGGTGCGTCCCACCTGAGACACATATACACATTTATTAGTTTGAGCTATAGTTCCTTTGAGGATCTCGTCTCAAACTCTCCTAAACCTCGAAAATTTTGATTCTTTATTATTTATGTCGTAATTTTTATCTCGTCTAAAATTGTTTTTGAAGTATGTAATTTCAAATTTTTTTCTGTGG